CGACGACTGGTTGCTTCTTTTTAAAAAAAATATATATATGTAAAAATGGGGAATCGAGAGAGGCAGGGGCTTTCTTTATTTCTCGTGATGACTCTAAAACGTCAAAAGGAGGGGTTGTCTCTGTCAGGGTGAAGATCTCTCTGGGGAGGGAAGAGGAGACTCATCTTGGCAAGGTGGATGATTTTCAGAAGGGCTGAGAGGGTGGATGGGGAAGGCTGATGCTAGAGCAGCAGTGCTTTTATGCCATCATTGTGAAGAAGACAGCTTTCTTCTGCCACCTCTTTCCCCTTTGTTAGCTTAGCTGCATATATTGCTTTCTGAAGGGGAGTGGATCAAGGGAACTTGGGGACTGCACTTCCCCAAGGGTGCCAGGATTTCCTTTGGAAGACGGACATGCATTGCATCTGAGCAGGGGAGGGGGGTGCTACTAGAAGAGAGCAGAATGTCCTGGTAAGTAGCAGGAGGAGTGGAAGAGATCTCAATTGCCACCATTTTGGGGTGGGGGAAGAGATGTAGGAGGGTGACTATTTGCCAAGGAGGACAAACAACCAAAATGATAGTGCCAGCATTAAGCAATAATGGAATAGTGCTTGCCCCACTTTTGATTTTACTGCCCATCACAAATTACTCAGCTCGATCTCCTGCCCACTTAAGGTAATTTATAGTCATTCAAGTCAGTGCCTCAGCTTAACTGATTTAAAGGTTGCCCTTTCTGATATCATCACAGGAAAATCAGTACCTGTTAATGGGGAAATCCATTCAGTTCTGTAAGCAACTCCCCATTCAGTTGTAATACTCCAACCCCATACTCTGGAATACTTTCCCTGAAATGAATGGGACTAGTTCTGTCATGTCTACTTTAGGCATAGTGAGATGGATCTGGGGAAGACAGGGAGATATGATTGTATCAGTGTTTTTGTTTAGAATGAAAGTTCTGAGACAGTCACTACATATGAAGGAATTCAACCCCTTAAGGTGTTTCCTGAACTTCTAGCTTTCTAGGAGCTGAGAAACAGCAAATAGATGACAGTGCTGTGCAATGAGTCATGAGGAAGGTGTTTTCTCATCTGTTCCTATTGCTACATTTGTCTGGAGTTCATGTCCACTATGTTAATTAAATTTGCCATGGAAGATTGCCTTCTTCAAAGCCTGTCTCCAAACCTTCACACTTATGTCTCTTTCTAGGCATGGACGTGCTGTAATGCTGTAGTCTAGCCTCCTGAAGAACAAGCTGTATGACACACAAGACTTGCTCTCTCACTCTTCCTTCTCTTAGGTCATATCCACCTTTTAGACTTGTGAGGGTAGAAAAGACAGGGAGAAAGAGATTTGCATCTATGATTGGGTTGGGATTTCCCTGTCATTGATATAGGACAGGCTGCTGTCACTCAAAATAAATTTATATATTTAAAAATAAGTATGTTTAATATTTTCAATATATTATATACTTCATAGAAAAATGAGCCACATGTAATAGACTATATCTAGTTAAAAATAAATGAAGGACAACATGACTGGCTTTTTTGAATGGTGACAAATTTTTGTGCTATAGAACGGAGAGAATCCTGACTACCTGGTTACCTTAAAAATTGACCTAGTACTTAGCAGTTGAAAGTATTTTCTAGCCAGTTTTCAGCCAGGTAGCAGTATACATTTCCAAAAAGGGTTTTTCATAACAAATGCTTACTGTCCGGTATAATTCACAGTTAATTTTTTATGAAAATCATATGGGATTAATCTGGAGGCTATGGTACTCTAAGAATGCATTTCCCTGAACATAACACATGGACAGGGGTATACTATATGTTTGGTGCTGGACTGAAATTATAACTTGGGGTGTTTCATTACTAATATCTAAAACAAATAAGGATGAATTAAATTGAGTAAAGGGTATGCTACCTTAATGCAATATGTAGTATCAGAAAGCACATTCTGTAACAATAATGTGCCATATCTATTAATTATCAGTAATGGTTATGTCATTAGTGTTACATCCCATGGTGTGTGTGTGTGTGTATATATATATATATCTAAAGGTTATCTAAAGACATGAATAATGACTTGAGCAACATCATCACAACAGGTTGCTGGAATTTCTCATTCAAAACTCTTGTGAGGATGAACAAGTGGAGTTAATTTGCAATGCAAGAATCTCTGAAGTTAAATTGTCACTTGCATTAATAACTTCTCTCCAGCCCTGTAGCAAGAAGAACCCCTGAATTAATCTCTGACAAGCCTTGTAAAAATTAGCATTCTCTCTTTTTCTTTTATTAGTGGCGGCACCTGACTTACTGGATCCCAAATCTGCCACTCAGAACTCCAAACCCAGGCTGTCATTTTCTACCAAACCCACTGTGCTTGCTTCACGGGAAGAGAGTGATATAACAATTAATGTTATGAAATGGAAGACGGTCTCAACCATTTTTCTGGTGGTGGTTTTGTATTTAATTATTGGAGCTACTGTATTCAAAGCCCTGGAGCAGCCACATGAAACTAACCAGAGAACCACTATTGTGATCCAGAAGCAGACGTTTGTATCTCAGCATTCCTGTGTGAATACAACAGAACTTGATGAACTCATTGAGGTAATGACCTATAAAGAAGTGTACTCTTGCCATGTTTTTAAACAGAATGTTATTTATGAGTTACATGGATGCTTTGATCCCAGCATCTTGGCACAGTGTACTGATATTTGTGAGAAATTATTGGTGCTGGTTATTTGACTTTGATGTGCAAAAAATGATTGCTGACTCTGGTGTTTGATACTAAAGCTAATCCTTTCATTGAATAATTCTGTTGTGTATCCCAAATTGTTGTTCATCAGTGGAAGCTGTTCAGTGTTCTCCACTTACATTAGATGAGTTGCAGTATTGCCTGACAGAAGAGACAGAATAAGCAACAAGAGTTTTCTTTACTGCCCTATATGGAAGATTATTTCCAGGGATAACCAAGTTTTAACAGGTTTCCACAGCAAGTATGTTCAGTACAAACATCATGTACAGCATCTCACTTTGTATCAACTAACCTTCCTATTTATTATCAGTGCTATTTAGAGTAACTACTGTTCTTAGCACTAGAAAAAGAGAAGCTGCACCATTATACTAAGACTGCAATCTGCTGTACACTAAGTGGAGAATAAGTCTGGCTGGATCCTTTGGTCATAGGTTCAAAAATCTTTAAAGGGAAGGGCTGTGAGAATTGAAGAATATGTTTTGTTGTACTTGTGCTTTTGAAATAATCTGCTTTAAATGGCAGGGAGGGGATAGTCATCTGTTTTCATAAAAAGCTTGATCTTGAAAGTCAAGGGTGCAACTCTGTTCTAAATTCACTACAAAATGACATAATGGAGAAGCTTCAGATGCAGTTGCAATCCATATAGTGCTGAATGAAATGATATCCAGATGCTGGTTCTTTCAAATATTAATACAAATGGCTTTCCATGCAAAGCTCTAGTTTAATAAAGAGAAAAGGGTTAATTTTGTCATGTGAGCAAATTATACTTAAAAAAAACATACTATCGGAATGGTTTTAGTCCACTTACATAAGGTACATTCACCAAATTGCCATCCTATTGGACAAGCAATTTCTCCTTGGGAAATGTTAAGTATTTCGAAGGCTGTTGTGAATATTTCATGTAGTTCTGTAACAGGTAGTATTGGAAGGAACTTTTGCTCCTCTAGTAGTTCAAAGTTCACCTTCCATTTCTGCTAACCTGTCATCTTGTGTAGTAATTTAATTGCTGAAGAAAATATATTGTATTGAGTAGTGGTGTTCAGTTGCTCATTCATCATACAGTCATAATAACAGTTTTGCTCCAGTGTGGATTGTTCTCCTGTGTGATTGAAAACATAAATAGTATTTGAAAACTGAATTCTTTGAAAGATAGGAAGGTAAACATTATACAGTTGTAGAGTATTAGATAGCTCTAATGATAGAGTATGTATGAAGAAAATTACAGCAATGTATTTACTAGTGTTCTGTTTTCAGACAGTAGTTGCCTATTACCTTCCAGACTAAAGTTAAGTTTGAGATTTTATTTAAAAAAAAAAGAATCTGCATGGACTGGATAAAATTCAGACTTTTTTGAAGTAGTCTCTATAAGTACATGTATGTACAACATTTATGTTGAAAGTTTATTCATGCATGTTTTCTGAATTCCTGAATGGGGAAGAAGTCAGTGTGGTGTATTGGTTGCAGTTGGATTTAGATCCAGAAAATCTAGGTTTAATCCCATTTTGTCATGAAGCTCTCAGTGACTGTGGGCCAGGTACAGTACAATCCAACCCCAGAGTTACGCCCTTTTAAACTCATTAATTTTGAAGGACTTCACATTGTATAGCTGTTTCAGATTGCATTGTCATAGTCGTGAGGATAAAATGGAGGAGGGAGGAGCCAAATATGCCACTCTGAGCTCTTTGGATGAAGTGTGGGATAAAAATGTAATAAGTAATAGGTTCTAATTAAAACCAGCCTTAATAGCATTGAGTCAAAGACAGAACTTGCTCAGGTGCCATTCATTAATTCTAACTATAGAATTATAGTAATTCTATAGTAATTCACTGACTCGGGAGTAGCTTCATTACTTTTATTTGTAACTACCATATTTCTTAAGTGAATTTGAGGATATAGTTCTTTTCTATAGACTATATACTTCTGTTGGGCCTCTCAAACTGTTGTTCATCAATGGAAAGAAATGTAACTTTTTTGTAATTTCTGTAGTATAATATACAAAATAATTTATAACCTGTATTTTGTTCACCTCTATACTACTGTGTAGGTGAATATTGTTCCTGTGTTACAGCCTGACATTGAGAGAATGTGGCTACAGGTGTAACTGTGTCAAATTTCCTATGCAGAATATGTAAATCACTTTTCCTGGCAGATAGTTCTTTCACAAAATTTAATTGCAAACTGGGCTGCATTTTTTCATGTTTGAATTTTGTCCAAACATTGTCCCGTCTCATTTTTGCACCTATCAAAAGTTTTCACTTCCTTAATGCTTGTATTCCCTGCAGATTTTGTAGAAGTTCAGCTTTACTAAATCAATATATTTCTGGAGGGTTTTTCCATTTATTGTAATTTCAATGTATTTTACTGGATTTCATTTACTTTTCATTAGTTTTGTTTAGTTTTGTTCTTTTCTAACTTATTCTTCTTTTATTGGGCATGCTGAGGGTTGCCCTTCTTGAAAGGTAACTCTGAAAAACAATCACAACTCAGGACAAGAGGTTAGCAATGATATATGCAGATTCCTCAAATGGAGTAGCATAGAAATCAAATAATTCAATGGCCGAGTTCATAATTAGGATACATGGCAGCCACTGGGAAATAATGTCTATATTGCATAACATATGTAAGGTCCAGTCATGTGTGGTACTTGAGCCATGTGACTAATTCCCAGGAGCCCCATTGCTGGTGTGATGAAGGTCTGGAAACTAAGCAAATGATCCAGGTTGTCCCTATGATTGGTCCGGTCATGCATTTTTTCTGCAATGTGAAGCCCAGCCATCTGGAATTAGTACCTCAACTAGCTATTGTATGAATTGGGTCAGTGAAAAGCATCCATCCATATGTCTTCTTTATGTGTTTTATAACTGTTCGTTTATTTATATTGTAAGCCACCTTGAGTGCTCCAAGGTAGAAAGGCAGCTAATAAATGTTTTGAATAAATAGATAGATATCTGTTAATAGACAAATTTATGACTAAATTTTTGGAAATTTTCAAATACCAACTTTTATTAAACCAGCAGTAACACGTAGTTCTCGGAGCTGCGGTGGCTCAAGTGGTTAAGACGCTGAACTGCAGGCTGTGGAAGGTCGGTAGTTCAGCAGTTCAAGACCCGGGTGCCGCAAGACGGGGTGAGCTCCTGTCTCTAGTTCCAGCTCCTGCCAACCTAGCAGTTCGAAAGCAAGAAATTGCAAGTAGATAAATAGGTACCACTTCGGTGGGAAGGTAACAGCGTTCCGTGCGCCTTGGTGTTTAGTCATGCCGGCCACATGACCACGGAAATGTCTTCGGACAGCGCTGGCTCTTCGGCTTTGAAACGGAGATGAGCACCGCAACCCTATAGTCGGATTCGACTGGCTTTCGAGCAAGGGATTTTATTAAACCAGCAGTAACACGTAGTTAAAAATGGTCAAATTTCAGTAATTTGGCAAAATGTTATTGAGGTGCCCCTTTCCACTCAGAGTGTCTATCACCCTCAGCAACCTCTCTCTCAGGTTCAGGGTTACCATTCAGTCAGGAGATCACTTTCACCACCCTTACTGTCTCTTTTAGAATCTCTAGAGAGCATGACCATTTCACACCTCAGGTCCTTTCTCTTTCCCATGGAGACATCAGCAGAGTAGCCCAGCCCCTTTACTGACAGGCCCTCACTCAAACACCACTGAGTTAGTGGGGCTGGAGGCTTATACACTGTTCAATTCACATCATGCCACTGTATATTTATATCCTATAATGTATGTAGAGCGAGATATTAACATGTCCCTGGGACACAAAACCCACAGGGTTAAACAAAACAAGAAGTTAATTTTTATTTATGGTTTGAACATAACACTTAAGAAAGTTTTTCTTAAGGTAGATGTTACAACATTTCATTTCCAGTCGAACTTTTTAACTGTTTCCCTATTCCAGCAACTGGGACCCTTCAGTACAAATTGACTCTTTTCAGCCAAACTCTAAGCAGCTCTTCTCCCCAGGTTTATTCAATCAGACATATTCTTTTTCCTCTCAACTGCCCCACTGCCAACTTCCAACTTCTCTCTTAACTTCTCTTTTCCAACTGTCCACTCACCAACATTCTGTCAGCTGTCATTGGCTGCTCTTAGGGACAGGTGCAATTTAGCCTGTCAATCACAGTTATAAAATGTGAATAATGTAGCAACATTATTCACAAGTCTAAAGGCTGCAAGTCGTGTACCATAGTATGTACGCTCACACCAGGGTCTGTCAAAATGCCTATGATTGTTGCATATGTTATGAATGTTACGTTGGATGAATTATGCATGACAGTGGGGGGGAAGGCTGTATGGTATAGTCCTATCTCTTCAGACCTCAGAAACTAAGCAGGGTCAGTACCTGGAAGGAGACCACCAGGGAAGACTCCGCAGAGGAAGGCAATGGCTAACCACCTCTGCTTCTCACTTGCCTTGAAGGTCCCTTGCTGTGGTTGCCGTATGTTGACTTTGACTTTATACACACACACTTACTTCCATTTCCCAGACCCTTCCACTTACATGAAACATAGAGATTTCATCGAAAGTGAGGGACACCCAGTTGTATATATACATAGTGTTCACACAAAGTCTTAACATTTTCTATGACATAAAGCCTAAGTATTTATTATTATAATTGTTATTTATGGTATTGCCTTTCTTACTGAGATTCAAGGCAGAGTTTCAGTGTCCTGGCCCCACTGCTGGACCTCCTGATGGCACCTGGTATTTTTGGCCACTGTGTGACAGAGTGTTGGACTAGATGGGCCATTGGCCTGATCCAACATTGGCTTCTCTTATGTTCTTAGCTGATAAAATCAGTAGGATGAGGAGACACCTAATAAACAACATAATAGCACTAGGATTG